CACTTTCTGCCTTGCATTCATTTTTGTTGGTTTGTTGGTTTGTTTGTTTGAATGCACTTGTAGTATTCTCTCCAAGATTTAAAAATCTGTGGGGTTGGGACTTCCCTGGCAATCCAGTGATTAAGACTTTCCTCTTCCACTGAGGTGTGGGTTTGATCCCTGGTGGGGAACTAGGATCCCGCGTGCGGCACAGCCAAAAAAAAAAAAAAAAAAATCTGTGGGTTCAAGTGAACTCATATTCTGTTCATCTTTGCCTCTGCCGCTGAGCCCCTAGCACAGTCCCCTGTTACTCTCTGAGTTTCCATTTCTTTTTCTGAGATCATGGTACCTACTTCATAGGATTTAATTTAATTTTTGATACAGCATCTCAATTTTGGTACAGTCAGTACTCAGTAAGGGTTAGCCATTATGATGATGATGATGATGGTTTGAAGCAATAAATGATGGAGCAAGTCCTATTGGCTCTACCTTGAAAGCATCTCTTGAATTCTGCTTCATCTCCCCACTTCCACTATTATCGCCCTGCTCCCAGCCATGACCATTCCTCTTGATACCATCACTATAGTCTACTTGGTCTCCCTGCTTCCCCTCTCTTGCCTGTCTACCTCTATTCTCTACTTAGCAGCCAGCACAATCCCTTTAAAATATAAATCAGATCATGTTACCTCTCTGCTCAAAATCCTCCAATGGTTTTCCCCATCTGCTAATAAAGCCCAAACTCCTGAGGCCTCAAAGGCCTGATGCGATTTGGCCTGTCACCACTCTTCCCCTCACTCCCTCTGACACAGCCTCAGCCGTCTTCTCGTCCTCCTTCACCTACAGCTTCTTGCACTTGCCAGAGTTTGCATCACAGGCGTCTGCACTTGCCCTTCCCTCTGCATGGCCTGATCTCTCCCCCACTTCATTCTAATGAACTGTGTTTTCAATTCTTACCTCCTGGAGGGTAACAACCACATGTAGATACCAACCGTTACTCTCAATCTATTTTATACTTTCCATAGCTCTTAAAACAACCTGAAAGCATATGGATAGATTTGCTTAGATAAATGTGTTTGTTTCTCCTGCACTGGAATTATAAGCTCCCTGAGGATTTGTTCACTGCTCTGTCCCCAGACTCTAGAATGGTATCTGGCACATGGTAAGTGTTCAGAAGACTTGCTGAATGACTGAATGCTGGCTGTGGGCTTCTTGGGTGAGGGCTGTAGGAATTAGAAGCAGCATCCCTTTGCATTAAATTGATCAACTGCTTCTGGGTTTACGTGAAGAGGAAAGGCAGGATTGTTCCACTTAGAGGAGTTGATGGGGGAGGGGGTGGGGGCAGACCTTTCACAGACAGGAGCACAGTAGCAAACCCCATGGAAGTGGAATTTCCTAACCAAAAGACACTTGCTTGTTTGGTCTGTTTTCTGTAACTTTTGCTAAATGCTTTATACATTTTTAATGCTAAAAAGCTGTGTAAAAAGCTGTGTCTCCTCTAGCATTCCTCACCCCGGTAGGAATGTGTTTACTCCACATAGCATATCCTTCCATCCTCTGGCTGCCTAGGTCAGTAAATAAAATCGATGTACTATAATTTATAAGTAACACTGTTGAAACTCTGATCCCTATGGAGGCTGTAATATGCCCTTCCCACCCTGTCCCCACTCCCAGCCCACCCCCGTAGTAGCATTTGTGTGTATTTGTGCTGGAAAATTAAATGTTTCAAAGGTTTAAATTTTAAAGGTGTTTGCTGTATATAACTGTTCTGCATTATTATAAAGCATTTTCACACACACAAAAAAAAAAAGGGCCACTCCGTCACCGACCTTTTTATCCAGGTTTAGGGGATCCTCCTCTTTATCCATTAAATGAAAATCTAGCAGAAGATACATCTAAGTATGCTTTTCCGTAATGAACCATGTAAGAGTCCAGGGTCAGTTCTCCAGGGCTGACTTCAGGCACAGCAGAGTGAACTAAGGTCCCGGGACCTGCTTGGCTGCCCAGGCCTGGGAGAGCACCCATTGATGAAATGCTCCAGAGGTGAAGCCCCAGACCTATCCTGACACTGTCCTCTCCAGCTTCAGGACATCCAACTGGAGGAACACTGAGGTCCCAGTAGAAGAGTGGGAAAAGCTTTGGATTCAGGACACCTGAATTCTACATGATTTGGGCCAGCTACAGCCCCTCTCAGGGCCTTAGTTTGTCTTTAACTGTACAATAGGGAGTCGAGTTGAAAGTATCTTTCAAGTCTCCTCCAGCGGTGACTGTCTATATTTAAATGAGCTTCAGGTGTGGGGCTGCTTAAGGGCAGGGCAGTAGTGGAGAGAAACCCAACATGGAGGCAGTTGAACTGAAGCTGAGCGGTAGGACCCCACCATGGCCAGCAGGTGGAGCCATTGCCACACTAGGAGGCTCACACCAAAGGTGGGAAAGTTTGCTTTTCTAGAAAGCAGTGAGTCCTTCAGGGCAAGCTGTCCAGCATCAAAAAGAACCAGTCGCCACCCAACCCTCCCCCCTAAAGACACACACACACACACACACACACACACACACACACACACACCCACACACACACACACACACACACACCCCTTCCTCCCAGAGCCTACACACTCTGAAAAACCCAGGGCAATATACTATTACAGGTTTGCTGGGCCTGAGGCTGAAGGCGTTTCAAAGACCCAGCTGCCTTTTCTCCTCCGCCCTCGTTTCCTGGGAGTCTGAACCCTGTACCACCAGCCTGACCTGGGCAGACTCTCCTTCCGGCCCTCTCTCGGCCGGATGTGTGACCAGAGGCCCACCTGACTTCTCTTTCTGATTACCATCTTCCCTTTGACCAACCCCCAGCCACCACCTTCTAGGGAAACCTCAAGGTTTCCTCCCTTTGCCTCCCCTGAGTCCTGGGGAGGAACCTCTGGTTAGAGCAGTTGGAGAAAAGAAAGGGGGAAATGGGGGTAGGGCTGCTGAGGGAAAAGGTCTGGCTTTGGCCAGATAAGAATCCGAAGGATCCTTTGTTTGGCCCCGACTGCTGCCACCACTGTTGACGCACTTAGGAGCGTTTCCTGAAGCTTCTGATTGTCCAACAGCTCTCCCTCCCCCACTTCCTATGGTAGGGGCTGGGGGTGGGGTGCCTGGGCTCTGGGGGTAGGGGGGCTTACAGATGGTTTTGCAGTTAGGCTGCTGTCTTAAGGCAGAGGTGGAAAGCATCCCCTCCAGGAGTTGGCGGCCAGATCTCTAGACAGAAGTTCCCATACTCTCCACTGTTCTGCCCCCAGCTGGGGATGGGGATGGTGTGACTATAACAGAGGGTGCACACGCCCTGGCTCCTTCTCTTTGTTTGGCATCTTTTGCATATGGTGACCAAAATGTGCCTCTATTTCAGAAAGCTGTTCATGAAGGGTACAGCTCCTAAGTCCTCAGCACCCTCCAATCTGAAGACCCCCGCTGCATTCTGCCTGCTTTTCTTTCTGCGACTAGAAACATCAACTTCCCCGAGGGCATCCCTGTCTCCCCCCAGAGAGGGGAGTAGTTAGTAGGCTTAGACAAAAAGCAGCATCCTGGTTGGTACCTGTGTCCCCTGAGCTGGTCCCACTTCTTCCCTGGCTAGCCCCTCCCTACCGGGTCCCTGCGTAGTCTGGCCAGGTCTCATGGGGAAACTGCTGCTCTGGTCTTCAGGCACACCCGGCTGGGACAGAAGCACAGAACAGATATGTTTCAGTATCACTTTAATTACAGTATTTACACACACCATTTTTTATTCAGGAAAAAAAAAAATCCACCCCATCTTCCTATCTCTGGAAAGTTCTATTTCCAACCGTCATTGAAACCAGGATCCCTTTTCACCCCTCTGGAATAAAACAGAAACAAAAACAGGACCTGGGTCACTCACGGAAAAGGTGGCTTGTGGTGAGGGTCCTCTGGAGACATGCTGGGTCCCTGACCACATGGGTTGCAGAGCAGTAAAAGGATTAAGGGTTGGGAAGGCAGAGACAGAAAGGAGTCTGCTGGGAGGCTGAGGCCACAGCTCAACCCAGGAGTCAGGGAGAGGAGGGAGGAAGCCGTTGAGACAGAGGTTAAGGTCAGAACCTAGCCTCAGTGCAAGAGTCTTCCTCAGAAGCACACAGGTCAAGAGACACAGCTCAGAGATCTGGTCCCACGGTCCTGTCCACGCTGAGCCACAGGGAGAAGCAGCAGCCCAAGCAGAAGCTCTGTGCGGCCCCGCAGAGATGAGGGCCAAGCTTGGTGCCCTCACCCATCTGTGTCCATGTGTGTGCTCATTTGTGAACATGTGTGTGCATGTACCCCAAACACACAGACACAGGACATTGTTCTAAAACGTTGGCGGGGGGCCTGTGGAGCTCAGGGAACTTGGAGAGCAAGAGGGGAGCTGGTGACGGAATCCACAGTGCCTTAGAGGGGGAATGAGGGAGATGGTTTAAGACAACATGATTTTCTGGCTATATCATTGCAAAGGAGCGGGTGAAAGGGGTTGCTTTGGTTTCCCTAAAGTAGAGAAAGAAAATATAAAGAAGAAAGAGTAACAGGCAAAGTCTCCTGGGAGGAAATTACAACCCAGAAAAGGCTGTGCTTTCCCCTGGGAGTTCCTATAATGAGGCAGAGAGGAAGGGGAGGGAAGGGGTCCCTGTGTGGAAGCTGCAAGCCCATCAACCCCCCCCAAGGAGATTCTCTGAACCTTGGCCTTCCCTATCACACCTTTACGCAGAGCAGCCCAGAGGCTGGGTGCAGGGAGCTGAATGTGGAAAGGGCAGGAGCTACCTGTCTCTCCCCAAGGTGGTGAGAACCCCTTGGCCTGGAAGAGGGCAGGGTCCCAGGAATGGCCTCCGAAGTGGGTGTGCAGTGGGAAAGGGTGGAGGGTAAGGGAGGCTCCTCCAGCAGGGAGACGGCACGTGCTCAGGTGCAGGGAGGGGCTCCTTCCCCAGACTTTGCCCAGTCTCGCCCCACCCACTCGCCCC